AGAGATAAGAGCTAAAACTCGGTAAACAACTTCTTTATGTCTAGAAAATTCTATCTTGCCTTTTATTTTTTTCTCGCTGTGAAACGTATTCGGTCTTTTTTTTAAAAATTAATTTTTTGTTAGAGATAAGAGCTAAAACTCGGTAAACAACTTCTTTATGTCTAGAAAATTCTATCTTGCCTTTTATTTTTTTCTCGCTGTGAAACGTATTCGGTCTTTTTTTTAAAAATTAATTTTTTGTTAGAGATAAGAGCTAAAACTCGGTAAACAACTTCTTTATGTCTAGAAAATTCTATCTTGCCTTTTATTTTTTTCTCGCTGTGAAACGTATTCGGTCTTTTTTTTAAAAATTAATTTTTTGTTAGAGATAAGAGCTAAAACTCGGTAAACAACTTCTTTATGTCTAGAAAATTCTATCTTGCCTTTTATTTTTTCTCGCTGTGAAACGTATTCGGTCTTTTTTTTAAAAATTAATTTTTTGTTAGAGATAAGAGCTAAAACTCGGTAAACAACTTCTTTATGTCTAGAAAATTCTATCTTGCCTTTTATTTTTTTCTCGCTGTGAAACGTATTCGGTCTTTTTTTTAAAAATTAATTTTTTGTTAGAGATAAGAGCTAAAACTCGGTAAACAACTTCTTTATGTCTAGAAAATTCTATCTTGCCTTTTATTTTTTCTCGCTGTGAAACGTATTCGGTCTTTTTTTTAAAAATTAATTTTTTGTTAGAGATAAGAGCTAAAACTCGGTAAACAACTTCTTTATGTCTAGAAAAATTCTATCTTGCCTTTTATTTTTTTCTCGCTGTGAAACGTATTCGGTCTTTTTTTTAAAAATTAATTTTTTGTTAGAGATAAGAGCTAAAACTCGGTAAACAACTTCTTTATGTCTAGAAAATTCTATCTTGCCTTTTATTTTTTTCTCGCTGTGAAACGTATTCGGTCTTTTTTTTAAAAATTAATTTTTTGTTAGAGATAAGAGCTAAAACTCGGTAAACAACTCCCCATGTCTAGCAAATTTAACATTCGTCTCCCATTTTTATATATTTGGTTTAGAATGTTCGAAAATGCGTAATATGGTCATTAATATTAATTGAAAAGAACCTTGAATTAATTCAATCTGATCTCACAAAATATGTTAAATTACAAAATTTGTTGCTTGAATAGATAATTAGTATTAAACTCAAATAACTAATTTATTTTTGAATAAAAATTATTTGAATCTATTCAATTTTGAGGTTTTGTATCAATAAGAAAATCTAACGCCTTTCTAATTATAAATATTAAGGGCGCACTTCCTACTTTCTGACATTCTCTCAATTTTATTGATCATATGAAAAGCTGATATTATCTGTCGATATAAAGTTATTATAAGAAATTATATAGCATCTAATATGATTAAAAAAAAAAAAAAAAAAAGGCATTGGGGCTTCCAGGGCTGCGCCCCTCTAGCCCCCTGAAGATGTTTAGTATGCAATGAAGTATAAAATGAGGTTTTTTTTGGTGAAGCGGGCTTCCCAGGCACTTCGTGCCTTCTAGCCCTAAAAATTTTTGAAAGTCGTTGCTGTTGACTTGTTTGTAGAGGACTCAAAATAGTAGAACTATGTCCGGACAAGTAAGGGTCTATCGTCGCTACAGAAAAGTTACGGGCGTTCCAAGAAGTATACTTTGAGAAGCCTTTTCTTCCTTATAGAATGAGATAGGATGGTTATTTTACAAAACCGACAAGACCTTAACCGAGTAGTTTTCATGTTTTGTCACTTTTCTGTCACTTTTCAGGGTAAAAACATTTTTATTGTATATAAAATGAATTTTACAAAACCACCGTTACCCTTCTTTGAAATAAGAGTAGATGTAAAGATATTCTATTGAGAGAACTTAAGAAACTACCGAATGGTCTAACATTTGTAGATTTGTTCGGTGGAAGTTTCTATATATCTCATTTGTGCCATACTGTATTTCCTGACTCAAAGATTATATGCAATGACTTCGACAACTATATGAACCGTCTCAAACATATACCAGACACAAACAAAATATTGAAAGAGTTAAAAGAAAAGATACCTATAGGTAAGATGGAACGTATACCATTAGATAAGAAAAATACTGTCAGAGAGGTTTTAAAAAAAGCAGAGTATATTGACTGGATAGTATATCTTCTAGACTATTGTATAGTGGTTCTATAAGAGTTCATGACATTGAAACACTTATGTCAAACGTTTTATATCTTAACTATACAAAGGTTTTCAAAGAGAACATAGAAAAATATACTGAGGGTATAGAGTTTGTGAGATGTCATTGGACAGAGTTGTATGAAAAATATAAAAACAAGGAAAATGTTTTCTTTATAGTAGACCCACCGTTCTATAACACATACGATTTTCAATACCAAGTAGACTGGACTTTGAGAGACTCTTTAGAAACTTTAGACGTTTTACATAACCATCCATGCTTTTACTTTACATCCGATAAAAGTGGTTTGGAAACCGTTATGAGATGGTTAGAGGACATACATGGCTATGAGTTTATTTACGATAAAATAGAATATGAGAGAGGTCCTATAAACCGGAAAAAGTGTCATAACAAAGAAATTTTATTGGTAAGTAAATGTGGTTTGAAATAGGACTACTTGTTTTAGGTTTTTTCCATTGTGTCATTTACTTATTTGACGTGGCAGAAAGATATAGAGAATATGAAGATGAACCAATGCCTGCAAATGTTCAGCATATGTACTCGTAAGAGATATTTTTATCTAATATTAAATGGACGCACAGAACTTAGCGAATGCACAGCAACCTGGACAACCAAACCCAGAGAATATTCCAAATGAAGTTAGAATACAAACTGCAATGGCAAACTATGGTCAAGTGCCAACAGATGTACAAATGCAAACTGCCATGTCAAATGACGCTGCGTTAGGTTTGCCACCATGGTATGCAAATATGAGATGGAAAGAGTTTTATACAAACCCTGAAGTGGGATATAAACAACTCTATGCAGATGACGCGAACACAGGAGTTGACCCAGAGTATGTTTTCTACCAGAGGAGAAATAGAATGTATGAGCTCCAGTTAAAAAATGCTATGGAACTCAGAAGGAAACGTAAGAGACTAGGCGGACATTAGATTTTTACATATAGTAAAATGGGTTTCTTTGGAAGAATAGGAAACTTCTTTCGAAATGTTGGAAGAGGTATATGGAATGGAATAAAATCTGTCGGAAGAGGAATTTGGAACGGAGTCAAAAATATTGGTAAAAGAGTAGGTCAGTTCGTTGGTATTATACCTAAAGACCCTGAACCAGAAGAACAAGCTCCTGTTATACAACAGCCTGAACCTGCACCACAGTCAAGTTGGCAACCAAATCCAACACCTCAACCGTATTAAAATTATATTTTTACCGTTCGATAGTAGTTGTATATGAAACTAAGTTCTAAGTAAAACGCATGGTATAATGGAACTATTCTCTTTCTTCCATCTGTTGTAAACCATACTTGAAAGTCTGAAATACTTCCACTCGGTGGTTCATATAGCTTTGTAGGTTTTTCGTAAAAGTCATTGCCAAGCATAAAAAAGAGTTTTGTGCACCAGAAAATGAAGCATGAACTATAATAGCATCTGAGTCGAAAACATTTTCATATGTTCCATTAGGGTTTTCGACTTCATAAAAGTCCGGGTGTACTGGATATGCTGCAGGCTGATTTAACATCCTCAAAAATCTATACCATGCCAAGTTGTTATATTTTGTAGAAATATAAACGTCTTCTCCAAGGTCTTCTATTCTATTGATTTAACAGTTGCATTTTTCCTGTCATATATAATATCGAGATGGTACTCTCCTTCGTCAATGTTAAACTGGTTTGCATATTCGAGATAGATATCGTTTATTTTTTCTTGAAAAGCTTGAAGAGTTGTTTCTAAGTTTCAAGCAAATTCACTTGTAAAAGTTTTCCCTGTTCAAATTTCTCATACGTACGTTTTTCTTTGTTATAGTATCGAATTTCAAAACCGACCGTAAATGGGAAACCATGTATGGCTTCTGAAATGAACTTCATTCTACGAAAGCCAATAGCTTTTGTGACAGATGGGTCTCTTAACCATCTTAGTGGGTAGTCAAAACGATAGCCTTCATGCTTTACGGTCTCTGTCTCAAACTTTGACCGACATTCGTAAAAAGTTCATCTAATGGTTTAGTTGTAGCAACTCTTGAATTTTCTTTTTCTATTGAAAGCATTTTTTATCTAGAATAAAAATGTCGAAAGAAACAGCGTCTATGAGAGAAATACAACACAACCGACAACTCATTGTACCAGCTCTAAATAAGAACACAACAAACTTTTCAAACTATTCTAAGATATCTGAGTCATTGAAAGAAGGAAACTTAAAACTGACATTAAACCCTTTAACAGACGAGTTTCTGTTTCAAGACAGTAAGAACCATACTGTTTGTATAAATCCAACAAAAAGAACTTTAAACGAGAAACCTATAGATGAACTTCTTTTGAAGGCAGATATTGACAACAAAGCTGACAAAGAGTATGTTGACGATGAGTTAGCACGTATGGCTAGTGCGTTAGTGAAGAAGGCAGATAAGGAATATGTGGATGAAAAAGACAATGAAATTATAGAAAGGGTTGAATGGTACCATGAACGGACAACAAAGATTTTAAAAACTAAAGCCGATACAGGGTGGGTTTCAGGATGTTTAGACCTTAAAGCTGACAAGAACCATACACATACAAGTTTTACAACTTTTAGAGCAGACGACATAGTATTGAACTTTGACCTTGGTTCAAGTGCACCATTAGAAAATCCAAGTACAAGCGTAAAAGATACTCTTAACATTTTAGATAAGAGTTGCAGGAATATCGAAGATCATACCAGAAACTTTGAAGCATACGAACTACCAGCAATGTTAGATAAGAAAGCTGACAAAACAGAGCTTCAAACATTAAAGACAGAAATACTTCAAACACTATATCCTATAGGTTCTATTTACACGTCAATGAACTCTACCAGACCAGAAGTAGTACTTGGTCTCGGAACTTGGACTCAAATAGTCGACAGGTTTTTGTATTGTGCAAACTCTTCAAAGGAAACAGGTGGAAGTAAAACGATTTCAGGTGAAAACTTACCTGCGCACAGTCACTACATAAATTTAACTACAGCTGAAGCAGGTTGGCATAAGCATAGATTTTGGGATTGGTCAGCAATGAAAAAAGGTAAAGGATATGATGTTAAAGACGACGTTCAGTTTGCTATAAATTGTTTCTGGGGTAGCACACAGGGAGAAGGAAACCATACACATCGCGTTTCAGGGTATACGCAAACAACAGGACAAAGTAAAGACTACATGCCACCTTACATGACAGTTTACGCATGGTATAGAATTGCTTAGTCGTCATTTTCAACTTCTTTAGCATATTCGTCAGGAGTTGTCTTATATTTGTTAGGAACTGTCTTTGAAAGTATACCACCTTGAACCTTAACAAGTTTGAAACGAGTCTGACAATAGTAGTTTTATCTTCTGCTTGCAGTCTGTACATTTTGCCATGTTTGCCTAAAACTTCATAATATTCTCTTGTATACTTTCTTCTATTTTACGAACACGAACGTGAGTACCTGTCGGGTACTTGTTGTTGTCATAGTCAATAGTATTTTCATATGGGTCGCGTTTAGGTATTTCTATTTTTACTTTGTCACCTTTCTTAAGTTTGAAGCCTGGCATCTTTCTTGTTTGTCTCTTTTGACTAAACTATTAAATATATAGTCTTTCTCTAAGTCGGGGTTGTTTTTCATTTCTTCGGGGGAGTGGTTTCCCAAACCTTTTTGTTTACGGCTATTGTAAATATTTAAAACTTGTCTCATCTTTGCCATGGAGAAGTGTCTATATTTGTCGTCATATGACATTTCATTTGCTTCACCACCTTGTGGCTGATTTAAGTCTCTTAAGATTTTTATACAACTGTCAATGACACCAAGAGCAGAATGGTTTTGGTCGACAATGAAATATTGGTTTACATTTTTTGAACGCAGATAGTTTTTAATATCGTCTGATTTGAAAGAACTTTCACAGTCAGATGTCAGTTTTGTTGGATGGTATTTGTCAACGAATATTGTCAAAGCAGTTTTCACATCTAAAATATTTTTGGACTGTAATGGTATGGCTTCACAGTATCTTGTGTTTTGACCAACAAATATTAGCCAGTATGGTGGTCCATCTTCTCTATACCTCGGAATGTTTTCCAAGATATCCATAAACCAAGCATTTGGTGTTGAACTAAAGATTTTTACCATGAGTGCTTTCTTTGTCGCTTTAGAAACATAGGGGTCCTTGTTTGAATTCGTCATTTTTTAACCCATAAGAAATGGGTTTATTTGGCGCATTAGCAGGAGTTGCATCCAGATTTTTGCCCGCAGTGGGAACAATAGCCAGAGGTGTATTTGGAGTTGGAAGGAAGATTTTGAGTACATTAGGTATACTTAAAGAGAAAGCACAACCTATTATACAAACTGTACAGAAAGGTTAGGATGTAGCACGAGATGCAGCAAATCTTATTCCAAATCCTGAAACAAGAGGAAAAGTTCAAGGATGGATGGACAATGTAGGAAGACAAGCAGGAAACTACTATAACAAAGCAAATGACTACTATAACCAAGCAGGGCACTACATGGACCAAGGTGAAAGATTCTTTAACAGAGGATATAACCATGCACAACAGTGGGTAAACAACAACCAACCTCAACCGCCTCAAACTTGGGGAATGTAAAATTTTTTACTGAGATGAAATGAACAATACAGCATTGAGACAAATGGGCTCAAGATGGATTTGTCGGCTTCCAGCAGTTACACCACCACGTGTTTGTCAAGTTCTTCCTATACCTCAAGAAGTTTTAGACCGACTTAAAAAACCTCAACAACCAGTTGAAAACAAACCAAACTAAAATTTTTACTGAGATGAAATGACCGAAGAAGTTGAAACGGTAGATTTGACACCACAAACAAAAAGTTCAGAACCATTGTCAAAACCTGTCAAAGAACTTACAGATGAAGAGAAAAATTCAATAATAGAAAGTGCCAGGTCGGGAAATACAAACTCTAACTACAAAGTCACTTTTCATAAAAATGGAACGGCAAGTATCTCAAAAAAGAAACAGACTCTCACAAATAAAATATTGAAGTCTGAAGGAGCTTTCGAGACAACAGATGGAAAAGTTTACTTCACTGACCAACAGTTCATTATAGAACATCTCATTGACTTAGAGTCGAAATATTCTAAACTTTACAACAAACACAAAAAGTTGAAAGGAAAACAGAAACAAATGGCATATGACATTTATGAAGATGTTGACGACACAACTATTCCAGCAAGTGAGGTAAAGTCAGATGAACCAATAGAAGAAGAAAAACAGATAGAAGAAGGTGAGCCAAAAACTGAAGATAAACCAAAACCAAAGTTTAGTTTGGAGACTAAAAAAAGTCAACCTTCATTAGCTGGTATGGGTTGGCGTCAAAGGCTTATGATAGCAGGTGGTTATGTAAAGTAAAGAAAAAAATATTTTTTTATTTTTATAAAAATGCCCCCGTATAGAATGGACAGAAAATCTGCTAGAATAAAAGCAGAGTTAGAAAGATATGGTTGGAGAGTTTCAAAGAAGTTTAAATATAGGAAGGGAAAGCCAATAAAAGTCTATGACAAACTGTCTGGTCTTCGCTATGAAATGGACTTGGAAACAGCACGCGCAAATTATCCAAACAGATTAGAGAGGTTAGAAGAAGAACGGCTTATGGACATGCCTTTCAATGTTAGTGAGCCTCAAGTTGAAGGACACGACGGCTTTGCCAGATTCTACTGGAAACATGACGAACAATTGCATCCCTTGAGACGGAAAAAAGGGAAGGGTGAAGACACACATGCTCCCATGGAAAGAACAAGATATGCATATGAAAAGTATCGCGAGGTTAGAAGTAAAATTACATCTGGGCGAACCTTTACAGTAAACTTTGACGAAGGAAAGAACAAAGAAGGCTTCATGGGAGTACTTGCTGCAATTCAAGACGGAAATAAGAAAGGATACAATCTCAGACTAACCGTAACAGATTTGGATGGTCATATTTACTATGCACATGGCAATGTCACAACAGCCGCACAACTTCTTGACGCTTTTAAGACTACAAAGAGAGAACAAATGTTTGACTCCGACTCAGATATTTTGAATGCAATTGAAGGAATTGCAAGCGTGAAGTTCGAATGGTATCAACCCAACCCTCAAGCAGTCAGACAACATGCTGGATACTTCCCCTTCAGAAATAAGTCTGACATTGACTTGACAAGGTATGGAATTTACAATTCAATTGAAACAATTGTCAATGAACCTTGTATTCTTACATGTCTCAGGAACTCTGGTCTTGTTACAGATGAGAAAATGAAGTATCTTGAGTCATGTGTGAAAACAAGGTACATTCTCAGAAGTCAATTGACAAAAGTTGCACCGTTGGCAAATGTCAATATCCGAGTCAACATACCGACTGAGAAAGGTTCTTCACATGACGACTATGTTGTTGACAAAGACTTACCATGGTTGAAGATTGTACTTGTCCACAACCACTTCATGTTGAACGAAAGTCTTACAAACCCATTGTTCGGAAAAGGCAAGTGCAACATTGTCAGAGCTGTTAACATTCTTTTCGAGAAAGGTTTGTTGGAACCAATTCCAGATGACAAGCTGACAGAAACTTTTGTACCAAAAGACGAAACAAACTTTTCATTGTTGGTAAGACCAAAAGTTGTTCCGGACAAGGTTATAGCACAAAAGAAGTACACAGCTCCAAAAGGAGTTGGATTGTTCGGATACCAACCTGAACCAGAAGAACTTCCAATGAGGTTGCAAGAACTTCAAGATGCTATAAACAAACTTCCATTGAGACATCCAGTCGACGTCAAATTGTATTGGAGAGCATCTGAGTTAGGTCAGAAGGTTTTATATGAAACAGGTTGCTTTGACGATGTTTATGAGATAACAGGAGAAGTATCTCAAAAGATAAGAGACTCGCTTGAATTTCCACAAACTGGACCGATTGGATGCGACAAGTTCGACTCATATGAAAAGATATACTATGCCGACCTTAACGCTGCGTACATGAGGTTTGTCCAATATATTCCGACTGGAATTCCAAACGAAAAAGGTGAGTTCCCGGGAAGGAACTATACAGTTGGAAAAGTCATACAACAACTGTATGATATTAGGAAAGCTTCAAACCCCAAACTTGCAATGACACTCAAATTGCTTATGAATTCGACATGGGGATATTCCATTAAAAAACCTCAAAAGATGAAGAGTAAACACTATGAGAAGGTCGACAACTTTGTTGAAAGGTTTTCTCCTTTTGTTTTGAAATACGAATTTACTCAAGGTCAAGGTGGCTTAGTAACCACAGTAAAACCTATTGTCGAACATTGGTCCTACCCTCAGTTCGCAAAGGCAGTCCTTGACAACTACAACAAATTTTTCTCCGAGGTCAAATCCAAAGTTGTGGTATACTATGAGAACATCGACGCACTCATGACGAACGAAGAAGGGTATAACAAACTCATTGAAATGGGAATGGTCGGTGAAAAGATGGGCCTTTTTAAGCTAGACAAGGTATTTTCAGAAGTTCATGTTCTCTCCAAACGTAAGTACTGGGCCATACTTGAAGACGGCACAGAAATAAAACATTGTATGAAATAAAACATTTTTTTAAAAAAACATTTTTTTATTTTATTTGAAATGTACGCTGAGTTTGTTGGAGAAGACCGTTGGGAAACTTGTTTGTTAGATGAGAAATATGAAATTCACTGTTGTGAGTCATTTGAAGTCAGAAACAAAAAGACAAAAAGAGTTTTAAGCGAATGGGAGGGAAATAACGGATATGCTACTATGAAGATGGGTGGGAAACGCTATCTTAAACATGTTGTCATTGCAACTCATTTTATACCGAACCCTAACAATTTACCTTTTGTAGACCATATAAACCGTATAAGAAACGACAATAGACTTGAGAACTTGCGTTGGGTCACTCGTTCTGAAAACAGTAAGAACATAGGCAAATTTGGAGATATTGTATTCGAATTTGTCGACGAACTAGAAGATGAAACAATTGAAATTACAGACTATGGCAAGCATACGTTTGAGTTTTACTACTATAGCGAAGAACAAGACTCTTTCTACTTTTATACCGGCGTAAACTATAGGAAATTACAAGTATATTTTACTAAGGCAGGCCATGCTTATGTAAACACTAGAGATACAGATGGAAAATACGTTCCAATACTTCTTAACAAATTCAAGAAGCTATATGGCATACCATTTTAAAACGTTTTTAAAACAGTATATTTTTACATATATTAAATGCTTCAGGTTGAAAAACAAAGAACAAAAGTAGCAGATACAAAACCGTTAGACTATATCTTTACAAACGCTGGTAGGACTATTTCAGATGAAGAAATTTCATCCCGATCTTACAGGTTTGACTATCCAATTCGTTGGCTTCAAAGTCCTTCAGATGCAAAGGCAATAGGATTTAGAAGAGTTTTGTTTTCAAATAGAACTAATGCATTCATGTTCGCAGTATATTTTCATGGCCAGTATAAAGGCTCTGATGGTCTAATAGAAAAATTTGACGAAATGAAAATCTTTACAATTCGTTCAGACGAAAGTCTTGAAAAAACTCTAAATGACTTTCAAACTCAAATAAACAAATACTACTGGGAATTTCAAGAAAAATACCACTCTTTACTAAATGGAACATACTATCTAAAACTAGAATACGACAAGATGAATTCCACAGTTTCATTTCAAAAGATTGAAATTAACCCTCCAAGAGATACAGAGTTTTTATATTGGGGAGTAGACAAACGTTCTTGGGCGCAATTTCTTCGGTTACTAAACCAGAACGAACCATTACCACCAGATGGTCCATTTAAATTTATACTCCCACCAACAGATTTGACAGTTTATAGAAACGTGTTTGACCCTCAAAATGTCATGTGTCATGCAAGTTTCAGTTCAAGCAACAACAGTTTTCTTTGTATTGGTAAGGACTTTTATGACTTTGCTTCTAAATTCTACGAACCACCTAGTAACAGTTTCTCTGACTTTCAAGTTTGGTTCACAACAAATGGTCTGCAGCATATAATACCTTTGTACTATGACTTTTATCTCGAATTGTCTTTCATATACAACTACGGAAAAGTGCTGAAAAAGTACTGAAAAATATATTTTAGGTGAAGAGGTGAGATCTCACCTGTTTTCTCACCTGTTTTTTCACCCTCTTGAATTTTCATGAATTTCCTTAAGATAGAAAAAAAGTGAGTTAAAATGAGATTTTTATCGTTGTGGTCCGACGGTTAAGCCACAAACGAATGTCCGACGGTTAAGCCACAAACGAATGTCCGACGTACCACCAAAAAATATTTTTTATTTTTATTGTAAGAACTGAAATGACAGTCGAAGCAAAAACGTTCACGAACAAATCTAATGGCGAAACATTCACAAAAGGCACTTACAACGGTATTGAAGTCTTACGTAGAGACAAGGATGGTTATATAAATGTAACAAATATGTGTCAGCAGTTTAGGAAAGACTTTAGAAAGTTGTTGGAAAATAAGTCCTGGGAAGAGTATTTTAAGGCATTTTGTGAAGAATATACCAACCGCCGGAATTCCGGCGGTTGCTTTTTATACAAAATTCATGCAGGAATTCCCGATGAAATCAAACAGGTTAGAGGAACGTATGCAGACCCAAGACTTGTAAACTATATAGCAATGTGGGCTTCTCCAAAATATTGCATAGCAGTTGGAAAAATTCTGGACTCCATAGACAAGAAAGTTCATGAGAAATTAGATGAAGAAGAACTTGAAGATACAGCAGAGAATGCAAAACCTTTGTTCGAAGAAGAAGTTAGAAAAATGCGCGAAAAACAAATAGAACATGAACATGAGATATGTTCTGGTTATAGAGATTCTCCATACGAACTAGACCAATGGGAACAAGAAGATTTAAGGAGAGAATTTAGAGAATATGAACTCGCTAAAGTTTCATTAGAAGCTGCAGAAGAGAGGTTAAAAGTTTGGGGTCGTTTTGTACAAAAATATTGTGAGTAAATGAACCATTTTATTTTTATTGAATTCGGCAAAAATATATTTTAGGTTAGATGGTTTTTAGGTGGAACCAGGTCCCTCGGTCCCTCGGTCCCTCGGTCATTTTAACTTCTCTGAAAAAGTGTGACAACATGACATTTTGACAACAACACAGGAGATAGACTTCTTCGTCAATGTTTTGTATAAAAAGCACCTGCCGGAATTCCGGCGGGTGGTATATTCTTCACAAAATGCCTGTTTTGTCAAGACTTTCACCCGTTGAATTTTGTATAAAAAGCAACCGCCGGAATTCCGCGGGTTGGTATATTCTTCACAAAATGCTTGTTTTGTCAAGACTTTCATCGTCAATGTTTTGTATAAAAAGCACCTGCCGGAATTCCGCGGGTTGGTATATTCTTCACAAAATGCCTGTTTTGTCAAGACTTTCATCGTCAATGTTTTGTATAAAAAGCACCTGCCGGAATTCCGCGGGTTGGTATATTCTTCACGAAATGCTTGTTTTGTCAAGACTTTCATCGTCAATGTTTTGTATAAAAAGCACCTGCCGGAATTCCGCGGGTTGGTATATTCTTCACGAAATGCTTGTTTTGTCAAGACTTTCATCGTCAATGTTTTGTATAAAAAGCAACCCGCGGAATTCCGCGGGTTGGTATATTCTTCACGAAATGCTTGTTTTGAGGTCGAGCCACTTTTGGCTCCACCGTATTTTTCAACCAAAACTCATTTTACTCAGCAAAAATATATTTTAGGTGAAGAGGTGAGATCTCACCTCTTTTTTCACCTCTTTTCTCACCTCTTGAATTTTCATGAATTTTCCCGAAATAAAAAAAGTTAGTTTTTTAAAAAAAAATTTTTTTATTTTTATTGTAAGAACATGTTAGCAACAACAGCACCAAACTCGTTAGTCATGAACCCAACTTCAATGTTAGTAGAGATGAAAAGCTTCATTCCTTCTTCATATACTTTCGAAACAGAAATCCAGAAGATAAAGCAAGAACTTCTCCAAGGAGATTTAGACTGTAGTGCAAAAGATGAAACAAATGAAGAATATCTTTATGAAATGCAGGATATTATTGACCATCTACCTAAACTTCCTGAAATACAACAACAAAAGCTTACTATTCCAGAATTCGATGAAATAGAAGTCAAAGCAACTGACTCAGTAGAAACCAAGAAGTTCATACGTAAGGTAAACTATGAGTTTCTTGGATTTCATTGCAACCACAAAGTCATGGACAAAGACTGCGATATGGTATATAAAAATGTTTCTGACATATACAAATCTGAAGAATTTAAGACCTACGACAACTTTGTTTCGTTAGTTGCAAAATGTGTATGGCAGATAAGAGATAAAGATAAAAGAGGTAAAGTATGGAACGAACAGATAAAACCAGCAACTTTTGAGTTAAAGAAAACCATTGACGCCTTAGTTGTACTTGCAGGTTTTATTTCAATGTACAATGCTAAAATGAACCCACAATGTTCAAAATGTAAAGCAGCAATGAGGAAATATAACTACTCCGTCAAAGAGATAGAACGTATGCGAAACGACTATGCAGATTTAAAGAAAGAAGCAGAGAAACCAGCAGAAGATAAAATGGACATGTTGACATTTCTAAACAAAAACTATCCAACAGCTGACGATTTCCTTCTATCTGATGTCAAGAAGAAATATAAAGAAACATTCGGCATTGTGAAAACTTTTGACATACTGACAGAAGAAATAGAAGCTACAAAACTGTTTAGGATTTCAAATATACATCGTACAATTCATGTAAAACGCTTGTGAAAAAGAGGTGAGAGAAAACAGGTGAGAAAACAGGTGAGATCTCACCTCTTCACCTAAAATATATTTTTGCTGAGTAAAATGACCAAATTTCATTATATAACTGTTATGAGTGACGAAGAGAACTTTGACACTTCGTAAAAAAAATCCCTGAAATCATATCTTTTATACAAAATTCAAGAGGTGAGAAAAGAGGTGAGAAAACAGGTGAGATCTCACCTCTTCACCTAAAATATATTTTGGGTCATTTACACTCATTGACGATGAAGTCTCAACAAAACATATACGAAGAAGTATATTTCCTGTGTTGTTGTCAAAATGTCATGTTGTCACACTTTTTCAGAGAAGTTCATTTGACCGAGGGACCGAGGGACCGAGGGACCTGGTTAGATCTAAAATATATTTTTGCTGAGTAAAATGACCAAATTTCATGAATTTCCTCATATGTTTGCGACCGGCGGAAAACCGCGGGTCGAGATTCCGTACGAAAAATCGTGAAAAAACTCTATGAAAATCGTGAAAAATTGCGAGTAGGGAAAAAACCGGGGTCGCCTAAAACTCATGAAAATCGTAAAAAAATGACCAAATTTCATGATATAACTGTATTTTATTACCAAGTGAACTTTGACACTTCGTCAAAAAAATCCCTGAAATCATGAATTTCCTTAAGATAAAAAATTAACGCTAGTTTTTTTAAAATATTTTTTTTATTTTGTATGTAAGAACAGGAAATGACAAACACTGAGTTTGAAACAGTTAAAAAGATAGACAATGAGACCAAAATAGTTAGAATAGGTGATTTAAACGTAAGATACTCAAAGAAATACAAAAAATATTCTTTGTCAGACATTTTAACACTATCTGAAGGAAAGAAAGCACACGACTGGGTTAAAAATGCTTCAACTCAGAAAATTTTGACAAGAAATCCTGAGCTGATGATATCGGTAAGATTCTATGGAACAAGAGCATATCTTATAGACAAAAGTCTTATACCAGTAGTTTTGTTCTGGATTGACCCAGTTGTTGGATATAATTTCATAACATATGGTTCATTCGATACGGAACGTTGCAGTGAGGCTTACTTTACATCGTTCAGAAACCGAAGGACTTCAATACAAAGAGATATAAGATAGGAAGAATTTAATATAACTCAAAGATATGACAGTATAGTCAATAGAGTTAAGGTTGCGTTTGTTAACGATATGAGAGCTGCTGAAACAGAACTACTTGAAAAGTTTTGAGAAAATGTATGGTGCTCCCACGAGAGGTAAAGAAACGTTTGAAGTAGATGAGATCGACAAAGCTATAAAAGTATTTGACGAAGTTGCTGAAAAAATACATGTAAAGCGTTTATTTTTGGTCTTTATACAAGATAGAAAATAACGCTAATTTTATTTTTTTTATTTTTTTATTTTGTATGTAAGACAGAAATGTCAACAACAGAGAACACAACAACTGCTATCGTTCATGAAGCCATAAGTGAAGAATACGAGTGGGTTCAGTTTAACAAACAGTTACGTCTCATTCGTTCGGTCAAAGATGACATGTACCAAATGCAAAGTATTTTGACAGCATGTTTTGCTCCAGATACTAAACACGCAGACGACTGGTTCAAAAACCAAAGCACACAAGAACTTTTGAGTGAAATTTTCTCTAGACCGAGAATTCTCGGCCTTTGCATTAAAACACATGAAAATCGTAAAAATTTGGCTCCTGGTTTGAGAGGTTGGTATGTACATAGACTTCTTGTAAATGCTGTTGCAAATGTGGGCTTCGCCTCGTTATGCTTGGTATATTTACAGACTTCTTGACGAAATTCATAGACAAGAACGTGAAGAGATGGAAAAGAAACTTCAAGCAAAGATGAAGTCATTGAAGCAAAAGACAAAAATACAGAAAAGAATACCACGTTCGGTACCAAAAGGAAAGGAAAAGAACTATAAGTATATGATTTACACTGAAGAGATGGAAAATGAAGAAGACAGAGATATGGTTATGTTGCATTTAGTCAGAAGAAACAACAAACTTTTACGACCTTGCTAAATTTACAAATCTGACAGAAATTGGTTCTATCGCGAAAACTTACCGATTTCAATGACACCAAATGAAGATGTTAAACAGATAGTTCAAGATACGTTACCTCAAACACACTATGATATGAAAGGTTGTACAATACTTACATTCAAAGAAGATTTGCCGCTACTGAAGGAAAAGATAACAGAGTATTTTGACAACTTCAAAGAGGAAGAGTAAATGAACCATTTATTTTTCAAGCTTGACACCAAAGATGGCTCAGGTAGCTCTATAAGGTAAATTGTCTTGTCCGAGTCCTTCTGGCATTCCGAGTCCTTCCTTCTGGCATTCCGAGTCCTTCCTTCCGACAGGAAAAGTTTTTCTTTCCGACAGGAAAAGTTTTTCTTTCCGACAGGAAAAGTCCTTCCTTCCGACAGGAAAAGTTTTTCCTTCCGACAGGAAAAATTTTTCTTTCCGACAGGAAAAATTTTTCCAGTTGTCCGTCCGTAAACCATTCAAATTTTCGAAAATTGAGAACTTTTTGGCCGACCTTCAGGAAAAATTTTTTTCCGACAGGAAAAATTTTTCTTTCCGACAGGAAAAATTTTTCTTTCCGACAGGAAAAGTTTTTCTTTCGACAGGAAAATATTTTCCTTCCAACAGGAAAAAGTTCTTCCTTCCGACAGGAAAAGTTCTTCCTTCCGACAGGACACAAACGAATGTCCGACGTACCACCAACCGAGTCCATTCCAAAGCCAGAAGACCGACAGCCCCAGCACCACAAACAGACTAAGACTCAAACACTTACATTTTTCGCTGACTTTTTACAATTTGAACTTTGTTCGCGTAGATGTGAATTCTGAAAGAAGTATGAGGGTCTTGTATGACTTTGTACTTCTCCCATAGTTCATGTCTGTCAAACTTACCTGCCATGGACTCTTTCATAAGTTCCATGAAATCGTCTTCGGACAATCCGGGGAAAAGTATGATATCAGTAAGTATTCTCTTTACATCCTTACTTAAACTCTTTGCTGTCTGTACACAAATGACAACTGAGATGTTAAAGTGTCTGAGCTTCTTAAGAATTCGACACATATCTTGTTCTTCTGTTCTTTAACAAAGGATGAGAGGCGAAATCATCTAAGATAAGAACATCTATGAGGGTAAGTCTTCCAATCGTAAGATTGCAATTTCTTCGAAATGTATTCTATCTCTTTCTGTTTGTTTCTGAAGTGTTTCTTCTCTAATATTCTCTGCATTTCCTCATTTGGGTCTTTAAACTTAGAATTGACATACTCATTTATAGCATTGTACTTCAAAACTCTTCTTTGGTACTTCTTTATCCAATCTAACAACTCAGTATCTTTTATACATACTAACTTAGACTTTTTTTATAATATCTTTGAACGAATTTACGGTTTGGTCAAATTGACCAGAAGTACTACAAATGACTACTAACTCATAGAATGGGTTCTTCTCATCTAGTTCTTGTTGTTGTGCAGCCATTTTAAGATAAGTGAAAGTCTTACCCGACCCAGGTGGTGCGATTAGACCTGTTATACCATTCTGAGCAAATAGGAACTTGTCATGTATGGGTTTTATCTGAGCATTTTCCAACTTCCTCTTGTTCTTATTTAAAACATTCTCAAATTTTTTGTCAATGTCAGCAAACTTTTTTTCTAACATATTTTTAGAAAAATTAAAATTTTTATCTTTTAGGAAATGTCTAGCGATTTCGCTATCTATATTCGAGACAAGCTTTTCGACAGCAAAACATCTGTCGACCATAAAATCTTACATAGTGTAAACAAGAAAGGTGAATTTGTTCTAAAGTTCTGTTTCTGGGAATATGACAAGAACCATAAAACCTTAAGCAGAGAAGTCTTAAAATTTGTCAATGACAGACTTGTTGACAGAGATGACGCCTCTTGGAGAGATGAAGTCCAACAAAACTTCTTAGAATGCAAAGAAGACACATGCGCTGTTCTTGAAAATGAAATAGAAAACAGAATAGAAGAGCTATTAAATGACAAAGCACTTTTACAAAAATATGGTTCTGAGAAGTTTGACATAACTCCACCAGAGAAGAAGAAGAGAGAAAAGAAAGAAAAGAAAGTAGAAGAAGAGAAGAAAGAACCAGAGCCAGAGCCAGTTCCACCGAAAAAGAAATTTGACATGTAAAAATAAAATTTTATTTTTAGAACATTTCTGGGTCAATGTCAATGTTCTCTTCCTCTTTAGGAGCAAACACTGGCTTAGACTCTAAAATCTTTTTACCCAATTTACCTTGAACTTCAACTATCTTAGACTCATAATATTCATAGTCGTCTGCTTTCTTTGGTTCATAAGGTATAACAAGTTTGTATGCTTTGCCTTCTTTAAGGTTTGAAAACCTTCTGTCAAAACTTTCTTTGACTGTTAACAAACCTTCTATGTCTAAGTCTTCAAATTTCGCACCATTTTTAGTCACAATAGCAAACTTAACTGGTTCGATGTTCCAAACTTTGTCAAATGTAGACTTTTCAAAATGGTAGAAGTAAACATTCAAATATGTGAATGGGTCTAGTTCTTCCTTAAGTCCTGACATGTACTTGTTTACTGAGATGAATTTCGTCATCTTTTCTATCGGATAAAAAAATATTTTTTTTAAAAAATTTACTCAGAAAAATTTTTCTTTGTATATACACCATTCTGTACGTCTAAAAGACTTTTGACATTTGCCAAGAATGTTCGTTTAGACGCTGTCATATAACCATATTCTTGACAATACTGTTTATACGAATCGTACAATGACCTTTCATCTAAACACTCAAAGTCAGTTTCATCTATGAACAGTTCATATACACTCTTGTTTGCTTCTAACAATGTTTGTCTCTCTTCGGTATGTGGAATTTGTCTTGGATTGAACTTAGAAATATCTAATGTCATGAAATATGAGAACAAGTGGTTGTAAAAGTCAGATGTTAAAGTTTCTGCTAAGTCATCAAAATATTCTGTATCTTGCATATGAGCTTCTGACGTTCTGACAACTACATATCTTCTGTCAGAACTTTCTAACTTCATCGGAACGGCGTTGTTTGAAACCATGATGAAATTTGCAACATTTTCACAAACTCTTTGGTCTCTATACTTTCTTTCAACAACTCCAACTTTGTCTGTTATAAGACTCTTCAAAGCATCTGAGTTCAAAACTTTTGTTGTATCTATACTTTGAAGTTCGTTACATACTATAAGTTTCATATTCTCTATTGAAGAGTTAAATTTACCGCAGATGTTTTCTAAGTTTGTCATATTCGGATTCGAATAGCCCTCTAACAGTTTGCATAAGATATCTGTAAAGAAAGTGTTCTTACCTGTTCCTTGTTTTCCAATTATGATGAGAGCAGTTTCATTTTTAGCACTTGGATGTTGTAAGATGTTTGCAAACCAACATAAGATATACTCATAGACTCTTTCGTTTCCATTGCATATAATTTCTTTGACATGGTCTAACCAAGCTTCTATAACATTTTCTTTCCATTCTACTTGTTCGTATTTATATCCAGTGAAGATAGAATAGAAGTTTGGAGAAGGTGTATAGAACTTTATACCACGAACTGAAAAATCTTCAAGTTTTGACAATAAGATATCCCAAGCATCTAACATCTTCATGCCAACTTGTACGACTTTTATTTTCTTAAGTTTCTGTTTACATTCTTGTTCTGAAACTATTGTCGCTTTAGGTTTGTTAAAGACTACATCCATTCTTTCATGACATAACATTCTGGGGCAGAGTCGACATAAATGACTAAACGTTTCAAATTCTCGACTGCTTTGTTATAGTCTCTAAATGGACACATATTTCTGAATGCTTGGAAGTCATAAAAATCTGAAACGTCTATTCTGTACATTTTTATAAAAATAAAAAAAAATATTTTTTTTATTCTTGAGCTATTTGTTGTTCTTGAGCTATTTGTTGCATTTGTTCCATTTGTTGTTCTTGAGCTATTTGTTGTTGAAGTTGTTCTTGTAATACAATACTTTCACCAGTTGCATCTTCCAATTCGAAACTTTCTGCCGTCATTGACAAATACATAGGACATAAAAGTTTTACAGGAACAAAGTTTGCGTCAACTAAGGTTAAGTTTATGTTTGCTAAAGTGTTTGAGTTTACTAAAGCTGAAAACTCTGCATTCGAATGAACAATAGGCAAACCAGCAGAGAAAGTGTTGTTTATACGCATGAGTATCTTTTGGTCATAGTAGTTTCTGTCGACATTCGAATAGCACTTTGAACCTAAGTTTGAAACAATATATAAAATTGGTGTGCTTAATGTCAATGGAATAGACATTCCTTGTATGACACCTTTTCCTGTTATAGGAATGTTGGTAGTAAAAACCAGATATAAGTTTTGTATTATAGCTCATATCATTAATAGTAAACTCAGTCGGACATCCAAACATAATGAAACCTGCTCTAGTTGCAGCACATGTTACATACACGTACTTAAAGTATTAAATAAGTCAACAAAACCTGTTGGTGGTATAATCTGAGTAAGTATCTTCAAAGGAGTATTTTTTACCATTCACAACAAAGTCTTCTGGTGTCAAAAGAGCAAACAGGCTTTAGTCGTCATCGTGTTTAAGGTCAGTTTACAATATCGTCCTTGAGGACTTTGTAAGTTTGTTGTTATAGAATTATATGACTCAGGGTTTTTAGTCGTAATAGTATAAACCACTATGTCTTCTGCCATTTATATATTTAAAAGTTTTTCTGAAAGTGGAGAAGAACTTCATCTAAACTTTCTCACATGGCGTTTCTTGAAGTTCTCTGTCTAAGAAGTTCAAATATTTTGTAAAGACATAGAACTTTCCTTTGTCTACACGAACAAACAAAACAGGGTCTTTCATATCGTTCAAAAGTGTGTAAAGTCCTTTACATGAAATAAAGTCTATATTGTTTTTCTTCAAACATCTTTCAAGAAGTTTTGACATTTTTACTTAGCAACAAACTTTAATGAAATGTTGTGGTCGTCAAATATTTTTATGACGTCTGGGAAAACTATATTTTAAGTTCAACGTTCACCTCCTTTCATAACGTATATCTTGTCAATGACATTGTATGAAACACCACAGCAAGCAATGTCGGGTTCTATTTCTTGATGTTTATATCGTCTGCCTCTGTCAAAAGTTTCAATAGTTTCTTCAAAACTTCATGAGGTGCAATGACATATGAGTTCACTTTTACAGGGTTGTGTTCGACCAAGTTTAACATTATACCCAAAGCCTGACAAATCTTCTCCTGAGTTTTAAGTTTGTCTTAAGTTGTTGGTAGTCATTTCGAATATCTGCAACAGAACTTAAGTCTCTGCTAACTTCAGGATATGTTGGTTGTTCTTTTACAGGAACTATTGTTATACCATCTTCGTCTTCGTATGGTTTCCCACTTCAACATCTCTGTCTTTGACATTGACAACAACACTTTGACTGTTTGTTTGAGTTGGTGAATTTAACTTCACATCTGCCATCGCCATTAAACCTTTGAAACACTTACGCTTCTATTTTTCGGAAATGACATTTTACTTAGAATAAAAAAGATGGACGTATTTGAGTATCTCTTCGAATTGAAGCAAAAACAAAGTTTACACACACAAACAATACAAGTTCATTGACAGAGTAGTTCTTTATACAAACAATGGAAAATGTTATAGAATAGCAGTCTTTGCTGAACCAAAATATTTTCATAAAGCAAAGAAAGTTGGTATAAACTGAAATGGTGAAAGTTCTTGAAGCAGACAAAAATATAACAACAAAACTGACCGATATTTCTAAAGGTAAGTTTATAATACAATATTATATCAAAACTGGCGTACTGTCAATATTTGACGGAGAGAAGTCAGTTCAAGAACAACTTACTGACCTGCTGCCAAAATCTGCTCGATGGAAGCTGTCGTTATACCAATCTGAGGAGCCCCAGCAGGTTTCATCGAACGAATCTTCAAAAGAGCATCTTCCGTGAAAAGTGCTATTGGTTTTGTAAACTTCTTTGCTTTCAATTCATCTGGACCGTCTCTGTCACCAGTATATTGTATTTGAACTGTACCAACAGTTGAAATACCACCCATAAAGTCTTCTGAGTCAGCAAATGGAATGCCAAGCCAAAAGTTTGAACGGTCTCCATTTGTATATTGAGTTTTTGACCTCCTGTATGAGTCCATACTTTCACATATGGCATAATAGAACTTTGCATTTCAGGGTTAATGGTTGTTGTGAAGTTGTTGTTAAAGTTCATAGCATCTAATGTCAAGTTGTATGACCTCATATCCTCAACTGTAGAATATTCTTCTCTTGGATAATATTTGCCATCTATGTTTATATGATATTTAATACCGGGTTGTAGAAACAAGAATAGTCATTTATAGTTCGTCTGAACAGTACAAACATAGTATCTGCATGTTTCATTGCAGTTGTTAAGGCAATATCTGTTCTTGCACCTGGGTCAGCACTTTGGTTTCCAACTTCACCTGCAAAGTCTTTGACAGATATTTGGTGTATAGGGAACATAAGTGGAACTGCAATATATTTGGCAGCTAAAGCATTTGAAATATCTGGGTCCAACATATAGACTGCAAGTCTGCTTTCTATTCTCTTGCATTCAAACTTTTCGCATGTGAACTTAACTGGGTCCCAAGCAGTTCCAGCAGCATTGAAGTAGTAGTTTACTTCAGTGTTGAGGTTTGAGAAACCAAAGTCTAAGTCAACTTTGTCTTTGCAAAAGTCACAGAACTTGGCTCCACCAGTTCCAGCTACAGTAAGTGAATGGGTCTTGTGTTGGTGCAATGACTAAGTTATTTTTGCTTGGAGTAAGTTCGATAGAAATTTTTCCTGCCCAGTTTGGCAAGTATCTTAAAAACCTGAAGATGAGGAAAGATGACAAAGGAACTCTAAGTTTCAATTTTACTTTAGTGTGCAGTTTGTCCCAGAAAGGTTAACATAAACTCCTGGAACGTTAGGGTCAAGTCTTCTTATTTTCTCAATAGTTGCATACTGGTCTGTTTGTTCTCTAGCTTGTGGTTGTACTGAGTTTCTCAAAGCGAACCATTCATAGTTTGCCCATGTTACTGTTTGAACTAAGTCAGAGTTAGAATATATCTTATATCCCATGAAAACTTCTGGAGCATATTGGTATCCGACATAGAAAATTCCATTGCAACCTTTCTTGTCAGACAACTTGGCAGAAGGTTTTATTTCAATGTCTTGTTCCACGTATAAGAAAGAGTTGTCAATAGAAATTATATGAAACCTGTCGCAAGCAATATCTACTGTTGTTGAAGAACCTTCTCCAAACTCACCTACGTTTCCATAAGAAACAGCAGTTGTATATTCGTAAGTTCCAGGAACTATTTCTGACCTTCTAATGGCATTGTCGCATTCGTTATACCATTCGGAAACATTTCCATTCATGGCATCCAAAACTGTTGGCGTTATATTCTGAGCGGCGTACATTTCATATGGGTAAAAATATAGAATAGTTGGATTTATATGTCATAATAGAACCCACGTGGACCAAGCTTTACTTTCTTCCTGACTGAGTTTTTAACTCTTCTTTCTTTTTCCTTCATTGCCACTACTTTCACTAGATGAAGTTACTTCTTCACTACTTTCACTTTGTTCTACTCTTCTCTCTTCTTTGGTGTCGCTTTGGTAACTTGCCCTCTGCTTCAAGTTGTTGCATCTTTGCCTCATGTTCACCTAGTATGTTGTAAATTTCCCATGTCCTTTTTGCCTTTGGGCTCTGGTCGCCCATCTCAGGTAACCTATATCCTAGAAAGAGTTTGTCATAGTTTGTATTTGAGTCTTTGCGTATTGTTTGCATGACTCTTTCCTGAGTTTCCGGTTCAAGCTCTTCAAACAGTGCCTGTCCATATGGAATAAGCTCGTTTCCAAATATATGTTTTTGTAGCCATTCTGGTTTTCTTTCCATGTTACCAACTATATCTTTTGTGAATGGGAAAGCTTTTACCCAATCTTTCAGTCTTGCGTCGTTTATTTCTGTAGTTGGTTTTATTTTGTCAAGGAACATGTTTTTCAATACTAACATTTCATTTGGTACTGTCCATTTGAGTTTTCTTAAATATTCATCCCTTCTCAGTTCATTGTCTGCAAAGTAAGTTTTTATGACATTTTGCAAACTTTCATTTGCAAGGTCATGTACAATAGGTTCTCTTCCTTCTCCTCCCTAACTTTCTTTCTAAACTCTTCACCAAATATACCATCTCTATGGTTCTGTGTAGTTCTTTGAGATAAATGTTCTAGAACGTCAGGTGTTATATTTCCATCAGCCATGTTCATTTCATACTGGTCCAAAATATCTGCATGTTTCATATCTTTCAATGGCATTAAAGCCGCGCTTAAAATACCAGCTATATCTGGTTCACCATTGACTTCCATTGCGTCTACAACTTCTTGGAATTGTGGTTGTAAGTTTATGAACCACCTATCCGGGTTAGCTTTATGACCCCATCTCATTGTAGTTCCATCGTCTGCAGAAACAAAAGTAGGTTTGTTTCCATCTTGGTTAGGTTCTGAATGAACTTTAAACAATGTTTCATTTCTATATGTTTTTTGAAATTTAACCTTTTATTTTCACCGAGTTCATCCGAAGATTGAACGTTAAATGCTCGTAAGTAAAAAGGGTTGTTGTATTTGTGTACATTTTCTTTCAGTGCTTCCATTCTATGCTGAATATTTTCATCTGGTGTTGGAGTCTTTTGTATGTCGGCAAACATTTTTCGATATTCTTCTACTATGTCAGCCGAATTTTTTTTAGACTCTTGGAAATATTCCATATTCTCCGCATACACTTGTTGAGGGTCAAGATTTTTCGGCTGTTCCAAATCTTCATCTAGTTCTGTGAAGTTAGTTTCCAAAGGAGTGACTTGTTCGTTTCCTTCAGGCTCTTCTAGCTGTTGTTGCTGAACTATTTCTTCCATGTCTGGTTGTATCTGAACTTCTTCCTGTGGAGTTTCTTGTACCTCATCTGCTGGCATTTCATATATTCCGAGACCGTTTTCAACAAGTTCCCTATTTAAGTCATCCGCATTCATAAACCTTTGTTCTTTCGTTCCGTCTCTATTTTTTACGCGTTTCATGAAGATAGTTGAATTGTCATTTAGCTCTGACACAAATATCTCGGAGTAAATTCGTTCATGTCATTTGGATGATATGCTATTAAATCATATCCCTTTGCGAGCTTGTATTTTCCAGGTTTGAAATTATATCCGATTTGGTGTGAGCCATAAAGCTAAATAGGTTCGGGTCAGTATTTCCATTCCTTGAACTTTCTAATAGCTTCTTTATATCTGTCACTAAAGTCAATAGTATCTGGGTAACCATAGTCTTCTTTAAGCATTTTTAAGAATTCTTGGTTTCCTTGTTCTCTACTTCTTTTATGTCCTTGCTCTGTTTGTGGTTGTTGTTGTGCAGGGTTTTGAACTGTTGGTTGCTGTGCTGGTTGTGGAGGTGGTTGTTGTGCTGGTTGTGGAGGTGGTTGTTGTGCAGGGTTTTGAACTGTTGGTTGTTGTGTTGGTTTTGGTGCATGCCTGTGTCTGTGTCCATGTGACGATGTAAATGTTTTAGGTAGTCCTGGTGCAGGTGCTTCTCTTGGAGGGTTTGGTGGTATATAAGTTCCACTAGCTAGTATATAAGTTCCACCAGCTGGTATATAAGTTCCACCAGCTGGCACATATGTTCCATCTGCAGCATAATGTCCTACCTGACTTTTCGTTTTTAAGAAAGCATTTACTAGGTCTGTTTTGGTCTGTTGTAACTCTTTTTCTTGACTTTCCACAACAGTTGCTCTAACGGCGTCATAGGCACTTTGAACTGCCTGTCTCGTTGCTGCATCTGTTATTTTCGTCATATTTTGTGCTACTTCTCTTAACTCTTTGTCGAAACCTTCAGACTTCAGTTTCTTTCCAGATGAGAAGTCGTTCACTTGTTTCACCTTACTATGAAGAGCTTCGAAGGCGTTCTTAAAGTCAGCATTTGTTAAAGCTTCATTTGAACTGTCTTCATCCGCTTGTATTTTTGTCCTTATTGACCCTATGAGTTGGGCTGCTTTAGCGTTGGCTTGGGCATCTAACCAGTCATTGTTGGCTTTTATATATTCTGCGCTTTTCATTGCCTTTTGCATGGCTGCGTCGTTATTTTTACTTTCTTGTGCTAAGTTTTCATACTGTACGGTTTGGTTTTGCAACTGTAAAAGTTTTTCTGCCTTTACATTTGCTTCAACTTCTTTTTTATACTCATCGCTATCCATATATGTCTTCAGGGCTTTTTGTTTTATTCTCTTCATCTTTCAGTACTTTATATTGATAGTATGAGTTTTTTTCAAATTTACAACATCTTGTTCCATTTTTGCTACTTCTGCTGCTTTTTCTGACACTTTTTTCGCATATTCCTCTGTACTTAGTTCTTTCAGTTGTTCTTCTTTCTTCTTTTTTCTACGTTTAACTCATTGAGTTTCTTTGTGTGTCTGTCATATTCTAGTTTCTTTTCGTTTTCACTTATTTGCTTCTGTATGTCTATGTTTGACTTTTTGACATCTGTTATTTGATTTTTGAGTGAACTCAAATTCATTTGACTTTGAGGGTTATAGGCTGTTCCGTCTGCAGCTCCACCATAGCCTGCCATTTTCGCTAAAAGTGCCGCTCTTAAACCTCCACTCTGTGCACCAATAACTCGGTTTAAAAGCATAGGGTTGCTTGACATTTGTTGCAACATAGTGGGGTCATTCATCATTTGTTGTTGCAACTGTTGTTGTGGTGTCAGTTTTACTATTGGATGTTTCAATGCTCCCTTCCTCTTACGTATATTCTTACGTAGCTTACGTGGCATTTTAAGTGAAGTTAAAAAGCGGTTTTATACTAAACATCTTCGGGGCTAGAGGGCACGAAGTGCCTGGAAGCCCCAATACCTTTTTTTTTTTTTTGATTATTATAGTTTTTTTTTTTGCTATCAAAACTAGGATTTATTGATATTGTGATGGCTTGTCAGGAAGTGGTAAGTGCCTTATTAAGGGTTTTCCAAACTGCAAAAAATACAAAAAAAAATATGCATTTGAAAATCAATCCACGAAATGTCAAATGTGCAAATTTAGTTTCAAATAATCATTTTTGGAATTTGTAGCACCATGAATTTGAATTATGAAAATGTAAAAATGAAATTATAAATGCAATTTTCATAATCATGTCATTTTATCACTTATTTATCATATTTTGTATCTTAATCATTTAACATATGAGAAACAAGAATCAATTCTTTCACTTTTGATTGAAAATGACATGAATACTGTTGATTTCCATAAATTGATGAAATCACCATTAGAAACGATTAACGATTGTGTTTGTTACAACACTATTAATGAGTATATTGCATTAGGAAATGTTTTAGGTGTTAAAACAGATTCAATCATTTTAAATGTTATGATTCATAAGATGAAATCAGCAAATTTCAATGATTACATGTGTTTGATCTCATTATTAACATCAAAGAGCAGCAAGGATATCATGTTAAAAGAACTTTCACCACAATTTAAATTTAACAATTTGATTTCTTTTTACAAATCTATTGGTGAACTTCAAAGAGTGAATGAAATTAAAATCAAAGAGATATTATCACATAAAGAATTTCAAAATTAAGCAAAATTTTATCAGAATCCAAAATTCCATGACAAAATATTTGATCATAATATCTCAAGGAAATTTGACAATAGCACTCTCAAATTTGAGAACTTTACAAGTTGTAAAGTGTTTACGAATGTTAAGTTTATTTTTTTTTAGAAATTGGCAAAATTCATAGGCATCCTCCTCCCCCGCATCACCATAAAATTGAGAGTGCTATAAACGGTAGATGTATGAGAGAATTTTTTAAAGTATCTTTTGGCCCATAAATGTGGAAGGTCAGGTGAGTGGGGCTTCCAGGCGCGTTGCGCCCTCTAGCCCCTAAGAAATTTTGCCCAAGACCCAAGAGGAGGACCGAACCCCAGCCGACCAGCCGGTGACAAAACCAAAACCGTTGTTATTTACATCATATTAATGGTTTCACTTTTTATGTCACTTTTCACAAATTATATATGTTTTCATGCTTTGTCACTTTTCTATCACTTTTCGGGTAAAAACATTTTTATTATTATATATAAATGAATTTTACAAAACCACCGTTACCGTTCTTTGGAAATAAGAGTAGATGTAAAGATATTATATTGAGAGAACTTAAGAAACTACCGAATGGTCTAACATTTGTAGATTTGTTCGGTGGAAGTTTCTATATATCCCATTTATGTCATACAATATTCCCAGACTCAAAGATTATATGCAATGACTTCGACAACTATATGGACCGTCTCAAACATATTCCAGACACAAACAATATATTGACTGAGTTAAAAGAAAAGATACCTATAGGTAAGATGGAACGTATACCAGTAGATAAGAAAGATATTGTGAGAGAAGTTTTGAAAAAAGCAGAATATATAGACTGGGATAGTATATCTGCTAGATTATTATATAGTGGTTCTATAAGAGTTCATGACATTGAAACACTTATGTCAAAAGTTTTATATCTTAACTATACAAAGGTTTTCAAAGAGGACATAGAAAAATATATTGAGGGTATAGAGTTTGTGAGATGTCATTGGACAGAGTTGTATGAAAAATATAAAGACAAGGAAAATGTTTTCTTTATAGTGGACCCGCCGTTCTATAACACATGGGATTTTCAATACCAAGTAGACTGGACTTTGAGAGACTCTTTAGAAACTTTAGACGTTATACATAACCATCCATGCTTTTACTTTACATCCGATAAAAGTGGTTTGGAAACCGTTATGAGATGGTTAGAAGACATACATGACTATGAGTTTAGATATGACAAGATAGAGTATGAGAGAGGACGGTTATTTTACAAAACTGACAACACTTTGACCGAGTAATTTTTTGAGCTGAACAAAAAGTGTCATATAAACATCTGTCAAAAACCGCTTTTTAACTTCACTTAAAATGCCACGTAAGCTACGTAAGAATATACGTAAGAGGAAGGGAGCATTGAAACATCCAATAGTAAAACTGACACCACAACAACAGTTGCAACAACAAATGATGAATGACCCCACTATGTTGCAACAAATGTCAAGCAACCCTATGCTTTTAAACCGAGTTATTGGTGCACAGAGTGGAGGTTTAAGAGCGGCACTTTTAGCGAAAATGGCAGGCTATGGTGGAGCTGCAGACGGAACAACTTATAACCCTCAAAGTCAAATGAATTTGAGTTCACTCAAAAATCAAATAACAGATGTCAAAAAGTCAAACATAGACATACAGAAACAAATAAGTGAAAACGAAAAGAAACTAGAATATGACAGACAGACAAAGAAACTAAATGAGTTAAACACAGAGAAAAAGAAGAAAGAAGAACAACTGAAAGAACTAAGTACAGAGGAATATGCGAAAAAAGTGTCAGAAAAAGCAGCAGAAGTAGCAAAAATGGAACAAGATGTTATAAATTTGAAAAACCATACTACTCAATATAAAGTACTGAAAGATGAAGAGATAAAACAAAAAGCCATGAAGACATATATGGATAGTGATGAGTATAAAAAAGAAGTTGAAGCAAATGTAAAGGCAGAAAAACTTTTACAGTTGCAAAACCAAACCGTACAGTATGAAAACTTAGCACAAGAAAGTAAAAATAACGACGCAGCCATGCAAAAGGCAATGAAAAGCGCAGAATATATAAAAGCTAATAATGACTGGTTAGATGCCCAAGCCAACGCTAAAGCAGCCCAACTTATAGGGTCAATAAGGACAAAAATACAAGCGGATGAAGACAGTTCAAATGAAGCTTTAATGAATGCTGACTTTAAGAACGCCTTCGAAGCTCTTCATAGTAAGATGAAACAAGTGAACGACTTCTCATCTGGAAAGAAACTGAAGTCTGAAGGTTTCGACAAAGAGTTAAGAGAAGTAGCACAAAATATGACGAAAATAACAGATGCAGCAACGAGACAGGCAGTTCAAAGTGCCTATGACGCCGTTAGAGCAACTGTTGTGGAAAGTCAAGAAAAAGAGTTACAACAGACCAAAACAGACCTAGTAAATGCTTTCTTAAAAACGAAAAGTCAGGTAGGACATTATGCTGCAGATGGAACATATGTGCCAGCTGGTGGAACTTATATACTAGCTAGTGGAACTTATATACCACCAAACCCTCCAAGAGAAGCACCTGCACCAGGACTACCTAAAACATTTACATCGTCACATGGACCCAGACACAGGCATGCACCAAAACCAACACAACAACCAACAGTTCAAAACCCTGCACAGCAACCAACAGTTCAAAATCCAGCACAACCAGCACAACAACCAACAGTTCAAAATCCAGCACCACAACAACAACCAGCACAGCAACCAACAGTTCAAAACCCTGCACAGCAACAACAACCAGCACAGCAACCAACAGTTCAAAACCCTGCACAGCAACAACCACCTCCACAACCAGCACAGCAACAACAAACAGAGCAAGGACATAAAAGAAGTAGAGAAAAAGGAAACCAAGAATTCTTAAAAATGCTTAAGGAAGATTATGGTTACCCAGATACTATTGACTTTAGTGACAGATATAAAGAAGCTATTAGAAAGTTCAAGGAAGGAAATACTGACCCGAACCTATTTAGCTTTATGGCTCAGCATAAAATCGGATATAATCTCAAACCTGGAAAATACAAGCTCGCTAAGGGATATGATTTAATAGCATATCATCCAAATGACATGAATGAATTTACTCCGAGATATTTGATGTCAGAGATAAATGATAATTCAACTATCTTCATGAAACGCGTAAAAAATAGAGACGGAACGAAAGAACAAAGGCTTATGAATGCGGATAACTTAAATAGGGAACTTGTTGAAAACGGTCTCGGAATATATGAAATGCCAGCAGATGAGGTACAAGAAACTCAACAGGAAGAAGTTCAGATACAACCAGACATGGAAGAAATAGTTCAGCAACAACAGCTAGAAGAGCCTGAAGGAAACAAACAAGTCCCTCCTTTGGAAACTAACTTCACAGAACTAGATGAAGATTTGGAACAGCCGAAAAATCTTGACCCTCAACAAGTGTATGCGGAGAATATGGAATCTGTCCAAGAGTCTAAGAAAAATTCGGCTGACATAGTAGAAGAATATCGAAAAATGTTCACCGACATACAAAAGACTCCAACATCAGATGAAAATATTCAGCATAGAATGGAAGTACTGAAAGATAATGTACGCAAATACAATAATCCTTTTTACTTACGACCATATAACGTTCAATCTTTGGCTGAACTCGGTGAAAATAAAAGGTTAAATTTCAACAAAACATATAGAAATGAAACATTGTTTAAAGTTCATTCAGAACCTAACCAAGATGGAAACAAACCTACTTTTGTTTCTGCAGACGATGGAACTACAATGAGATGGGGTCATAAAGCTAATCCGGATAGGTGGTTCATAAACTTACAACCTCAATTCCAAGAAGTTGTAGACGCAATGAAGTGAATGGTGAACCAGATATAGCTGGTATTTTCAGCGCGGCTTTAATGCCATTGAAGATATGAAAAATGCAGATATTTTGGACCAGTATGAAATGAACATGGCTGATGGAAATATAACACCTGACGTTCTAGAACATTTATCTCAAAGAACTACACAGAACCATAGAGATGGTATATTTGGTGAAGAGTTTAGAAAGAGAGTTAGGAGAGAGAAGGAAGAGAACCTATTGTACATGACCTTGCAAACGAAAGTTTGCAAAATGTCATAAAAACTTACTTTGCAGACAATGAACCGAGAAGGGATGAATATTTAAGAAAACTCAAATGGACAGTACCAAATGAAATGTTAGTATTGAAAAACATGTTCCTTGACAAAATAAAACCAACTACAGAAATAAATGACGCAAGACTGAAACATTGGGTAAAAGCTTTCCCATTCACAAAAGATATTATTGGTAACATGGAAAGAAAACCAGAATGGCTACAAAAACATATATTTGGAAACAAGCTTATTCCATATGGACAAGCTCTGTTTGAAGAGCTTGAACCGGAAACTCAGGAAAGAGTCATGCAAACAATACGCAAAGACTCAAATACAAACTATGACAAAATCTTTCTAGGATATAGGTTACCTGAGATGGGCGACCAGAGCCCAAAGGCAAAAAGGACATAGGAAATTTACAACATACTAGGTGAACATGATGCAAAGATGCAACAACTTGAAGCAGAGGGCAAGTTACCAAAAGCGACACCAAAGAAGAAGAGAAGAGTAGAACAAAGTGAAAGTAGTGAAGAAGTAACTTCATCTAGTGAAAGTAGTGGCAATGAAGGAAAAAGAAGAGTTAAAGATTCAGTTAAAAACTCAGCCAGGAAGAAAGTAAAGCTTGGTCCGAGTGGGTTCTATTATGACACATAAATCCAACTATTCTATATTTTTACCCATATGAAATGTACGCCGCTCAGAATATTACGCCAACAGTTTTGGATGCCATGAACGGAAATGTTTCCAAATGGTATAACGAATGCGACAATGCCATTAGAAGGTCAGAAATAGTTCCTGGAACTTACAAATATACAACTGCTGTTTCTTATGGAAACGTAGGTGAGTTTGGAGAAGGTTCTTCAACAACAGTAGATATTGCTTGCGACAGGTTTCATATAATTTCTATTGACAACTCTTTCTTATACGTGGAACAAGACATTGAAATAAAACCTTCTGCCAAGTTGTCTGACAAGAAAGGTTGCAATGGAATTTTCTATGTCGGATACCAATATGCTCCAGAAGTTTTCATGGGATATAAGATATATTCTAACTCTGACTTAGTTCAAACAGTAACATGGGCAAACTATGAATGGTTCGCTTTAAGAAACTCAGTACAACCACAAGCTAGAGAACAAACAGACCAGTATGCAAATATTGAGAAAATAAGAAGACTTGACCCTAACGTTCCAGGAGTTTATGTTAACCTTTCTGGTTCAGATGGAACTGCTGCCACTAAAGTAAAACTGAAACTTAGAGTTCCTTTGTCATCTTTCCTCATCTTCAGGTTTTTAAGATACTTGCCAAACTGGGCAGGAAAAATTTCTATCGAACTTACTCCAAGCAAAAATAACTTAGTCATTGCACCAACGCAAGACCCATTCACTATTACAGACGTAAAGGGAACAAATAAAACATCATTCGCCGAATTTTGCAAAGACAAAGTTGACTTAGACTTTGGTTTCTCAAACTTCAACAATGAAGTAAACTATTATTTCAATGCTGCTGGAGATGCTTGGGACCCAGTTAAGTTCACATGCGAAAAATTTGAATGCAAGAGAATAGAAAGCAGACTTGCAGTCTATATGTTGGACCCAGATATTTCAAATGCTTTAGCTGCCAAATATATTGCAGTTCCACTTATGTTCCCTATACACCAAATATCTGTCAAAGATTTTGCAGGTGAAGTTGGAAACCAAAGTGCTGACCCAGGTGCAAGAACAGATATTGCCTTAACAACTGCAATGAAACATGCAGATACTATGTTTGTACTGTTCAGACGAACTATAAATGACTATTCTTGTTTCTACAACCCTGGTATTAAATATCATATAAACATAGATGGCAAATATTATCCAAGAGAAGAATATTCTACAGTTGAGGATATGAGGTCATACAACTTGACATTAGATGCTATGAACTTTAACAACAACTTCACAACAACTATTAACCCTGAAATGCAAAGTTCTATTATGCCATATGTAAAACTATGGACTCATACAGGAGGTCAAAAAACTCAATATACAAATGGAGACCGTTCAAACTTTTGGCTTGGCATTCCATTTGCTGACTCAGAAGACTTTATGGGTGGTATTTCAACTGTTGGTACTGTACAAATACAATATACTGGTGACAGAGACGGTCCAGATGAATTGAGAGCAAAGAAGTTTACAAAACCAATAGCACTTTTCACGGAAGATGCTCTTTTGAAGATTCGTTCGATGAAACCTGCTGGGGCTCCTCAGATTGGCATAACGACAGCTTCCATCGAGCAGATTTTGGCAGCAGGTCAGTAAGTTGTTCTTTGACACTTTTCTCACCATCGTAAATAGTTATGACACCTGTTTTGACATAATATTGTATTATAAACTTTCCTTTAGTAATATCGGTCAGTTTTGTTGTTATATTTTTGTCAACGTCAAGAACTTTCACCATTTCGGTTATACCAACTTTCTTTGCTTTATGAAAATATTTAGGTTCAGCAAATATTGCTATTCTATAACATTTTCCATTGTTTGTGTAAAGAACTATTCTGTCAATGTATTTGTATTGTTTGTGAGTATAAACTTTGTTCTGCTTCAATTCAAAGAGATATCCGAATACGTCCATCTTTTTATTCTAAGTAAAATGTCATTTCTGAAAAATAGAAGCGTAAGTGTTTCAAAAGGTTTAATGGCGGTGGCAGATGTGAAGTTAAATTCACCAACTCAAACAAACAGTCAAAGTGTTATTGTCAATGTCAAAGACAGAGATGTTGAAATGGGGAAACCATACGAAGACCAAGATGGTATAACAATAGTTCCTGTAAAAGAACAACCAACATATCCTGAAGTTAACAGAGACTTAAGTTCTGTTGCAGATATTCGAAACGACTACCAACAACTGAAAGACAAACTTCAAACTCAGGAGAAGATTTGTCAAGCTTTAAGTATAATGTTAAACTTGGTCGAACACAACCCTGTAAAAGTGAACTCATATGTCATTGCACCTCATGAAGTTTTGAAAGAACTATTGAAACTTTTGACAGAGGCAGACGATATAAACATCAAAGAAATAGAACCCGACATTAGTTGCTGTGGTGTTTCATATAATGTCATTGACAAGATATACGTTATGAAAGGAGGTGAAACGTTGAACTTAAAATATAGTTTCCCAGACGTTATAAAAATATTTAACGACCACAACATTTCATTAAAATTTATTTGCTAAGTAAATGGCAGAAGACATAATGGTTTATACTATTACGACTAAAAACCCTGAGTCATATAATTCTATAACAACAAACTTACAAAGTCCTCAAGGACGATATTGTAAACTAACCTTAAACACAATGACGACTAAAGCCTGTTTTTTCTTTTGACACCAGAAGACTTTATTGTTGTGAATGGTAAAAAATACTCCTTTGAAGATACTTACTCAGATATACCACCAACAGGTTTTGTTGACTTATTTTAATACTTTAAGTACGGGTGTAACATGTGCTGCAACTAGAGCAGGTTTCATTATGTTTGGATGTCCGACTGAGTTTACTATTAATGATATGAGCTATAATACAAAACTTATATCTGGTTTTACTACCAACAGTTTCCTATAACAGAAAAGGTGTCATACAAGGAATGTCTATTCCATTGACATTAAGCACACCAATCTTATATTATTGTTTCAAACTTAGGTTCAAAGTGTTATTCGAATGTCGACAGAAACTATTATGACAAAAGATACTTATGCGTATAAACAATACTTTCTCTGTGGTTTGCCTATTGTTCATTCGAATGCAGAATTTTCAACCTTAGTGAACTCAAACACTTTGGCAAGTATAACGTTGACATTAGTTGACGCCAAACTTTGTTCCTGTAAAACTTTTATGTCCTATGTATTTGTCAATGACGGCAGAAAGTTTCGAATTGGAAGATGCAACTGGTGAAAGTATTGTATTACAAGAACAACTTCAACAACAAATAGCTCAAGAACAACAAATGCAACAAATGGAACAACAAAGTCAAGAATAAAAAAAAATTTTTTTTATTTTTATAAAAATGTACAGAATAGATGTTCAGATTTTTATGACTTCCAAGCATTCAGAAATATGTGTCCATTTCGAGACTATAACAAAGCAGTCGAGAATTTGAAACGTTTAGTCATTTTATGTCGACTCTGCCCCAGAATGTTATGTTATGAAAGAATGGGATGTTGTTTAACAAACCAAGAGCAGCAATAGTGTCTGAACAAGAATGTAGACAGAAACTTAAGAAAATAAAAGTCGTACAAGTTGGCATGAAGATGTTAGATGCTTGGATATCTTATTGTCAAAACTTGAAGATTTTTCAGTTCGTGGTTATAAAGTTCTATACACCTTCTCCAAACTTCTTTCTATCTTCACTGGATATAAATACGAACAAGTAGAATGGAAAGAAAATATTATAGAAGCTTGGTTAGACCATGTCAAAGAAATTATATGCAATGGAAACGAAAAGGTTTATGAGTATATCTTATGTTGGTTTGCAAACATCTTACAACATCCAAGTGCTAAGAATGAAACTGCTCTCATATTATAATTGGAAAACAAGGAACTGGTAAGAACACATTCTTTACAGATATTTTGTGCAAACTGTTAGAAAGGTTATTCGAATCCGAATATGACAAACTTAGAAAACATCTGCGGTAAATTTAACTCTCAATTGAGAATATGAAACTTATAGTATGTAACGAACTTCAAAGTATAGATACAACAAAAAGTTTTTAAACTCAGATGCTTTTGAAGAGTCTTATAACAGACAAAGTTGGAGTTGTTGAAAGAAAGTATAAAGACTCAAGAGTTTGTGAGAATGTTGCAAACTTCATAATGGTTTCAAACAATGCTGTTCCGATGAAGTTCGAAAGTTCTGACAGAAGATATGTAGTTGTCAGAACGTCAGATTCTCATATGCAAGATACTGAATATTTTGACGCTTTGTCAGAATGTTTGACATCTGACTTTTACAACCCACTTGTTTTCTCATATTTCATGACATTAGATATTTCTAAGTTCAATCCAAGACAAATTCCACATACCGAAGAGAGACAAACATTGTTAGAAGCAAACAAGAGTGTATATGAACTGTTCATAGATGAAACTGACTTTGTGTCATTAGATGAAAAGTCTTTATATGATGAATATAAACAATATTGTCAAGAATATGGTTATATGGCAGCTTCTAAACGAACATTCTTGCAAATGTCAAAAGTCTTTTAGATGTTCAGAATGGTGTATATACAAAGAAAATTTTTTCTGAGTAAAATTTTAAAAAAAATATTTTTTTATCCGATAGAAAAGATGGCAAAATTCATCTCAGTAAATAAGTACATGTCAGGACTTAAAGAAGAACTAGACCCATTCACATATTGAATGTTTACTTCTACCATTTTGAAAAGTCTTCATTCAGCAAAGTTTGGAACATCGAACCAGTTAAGTTTGCTATTGTGACTAAAAATGGTGCGAAATTTGAAGACTTAGACATAGAAGGTTTGTTAACAGTCAAAGAAAGTTTTGACAGAAGGTTCTCAAACCTTAAAGAAGGCAAAGCATACAAACTTGTTATACCTTATGAACCAAAGAAGACAGACGACTATGAAATTATGAGTCTAAAAGTTGTAGAAGTTCAAGGTAAATTGGGTAAAAAGATTTTAGAATCTAAGCCAGTGTTTACTCCTAAAGAGGAAGAGAACATTGACATTGACCCAGAAATGTTCTAAAAATAAAATTTTATTTTTACATGTCAAATTTCTTTTTCTCTGGAACTGGCTCTGGTTCTTTCTTCTCTTCTTCTACTTTCTTTTCTTTCTTCTTCTTTTCTGGTGGTGAGACGTCGAACTTGTCGCAACCATATTTATGTAAAAGTTCTTTGTCCTTTAATAGCTCATCTATTCTGTTTTCTATTTCATCTTCAAGAACAGCGCATGTGTCTTCTTTGCATTCTAAGAACTTTTGTTGGACTTCATCTTTCCAATCGGCGTCATCTCTGTCAACAAGTCTGTCATTGACAAATTTTAAGACTGCTCTGCTTAATGTTTTATGGTTCTTGTCATATTCCCAGAAACAGAACTTTAGAACAAATTCACCTTTCTTGTTTACACTATGTAAGATTTTATGGTCGACAGATGTTTTGCTGTCAAAAAGTTTGTCTCGAATATAGATAGCGAAATCACTAGACATTTTCTAAAAGATAAAAATTTTAATTTTTCTAAAAATATGTTAGAAAAAAAGTTTGCTGACATTGACAAAAAAATTGAGAATGTTTTAAACAAGAACAAGAGGAAGTTAGAAAATGCTCAGATAAAACCTATACATGACAAGTTCTTATTTGCTCAGAATGGTATAACAGGTCTAATTGCACCACCTGGGTCGGGTAAGACTTTCACTTATCTTAAAATGGCTGCACAACAACAAGAACTGGATGAGAAGAACCCATTCTATGAGTTGGTTGTCATTTGTAGTACTTCGGGTCAATTTGACCAAACCGTCAATTCGTTCAAAGATATTATAAAGAAGTCTAAGTTAGTATGTATAAAAGACTCTGAGTTGTTAGATTGGATAAAGAAGTACCAAAGAAGAGTTTTGAAGTATAATGCTATAAATGAGTATATAAATTCTAAGTTTAAAGACCCAAATGAGGAAATGCAGAGAATATTAGAGAAGAAACACTTCAGAAACAAACAGAAAGAGATAGAATACATTTCGAAGAATTGCAATCTTACGATGGAAGACTTACCCTCATAGGTGTCTTCTTATCTTAGATGACTTTGCTTCTCATCCTTTGTTAAAGAATAGAGAACAAGATATGTGTCGAATTCTCAAGAAGCTCAGACACTTTAACATTTCAGTTGTCATTTGTGTACAGACAGCCAAGAGTTTAAGTAAGGATGTTAAAAGAATACTTACTGACATAATACTTTTCCCCGGATTGTCCGAAGACGATTTCATGGAACTTATGAAAGAGTCCATGGCAGGTAAGTTTGACAGACATGAACTCTGGGAGAAGTATAAAGTCATACAAGACCCTCATACTTCTCTCAGAATTCATATCTACGCGAACAAAGTTCAAATTGTAAAAAGTCAAGCTTGAAAATTTTTATCGTTGTAAAAGTGACACTTTCAATGAGTGAGGAAATGCCCGAAATTTTCCAGTTCATGGTAGAAGTGTGTAAGCTTGAACCACCCTACACAGCTGAAGATATCTTTTCTACGTGGCATCGTATGTATAGAACTCGGGATACGAACACCGTTGACGGTCAAATTATTACATTATTCGTAACGCATTGGTACGAACAATGGAGAGACCGTAAAATGGGCAAGCTTGAATTCATGCAAGAGTTTTCCAATTTTCACAACTTTTACATCGGACCTGTGAAAGAAGCTTTGAATAAAAAATAACTTTTAAAAAGTGTCATTTTTTTCATGTCCGAAGACTTGAAGGTGCAACACTTCCAAAATACCGACGAACTCAGACGAGCAGCATGGCAGTATGATCTTGACAACTTCTTTGAGTTCTCCAGGTACACCTTGGAAAATGCTGAAGAACTCCGACACAGAGAATTTGGAGAAATTGCAGTCCAATACTACCTTGAAAAACAAAGGGTAAAATAAGACTAAAAACTTAACGTTTAAAAAGTGACATTTTTAATGAGCTCCGAGTCACCGAGAAAACTTGGTCAGATGTTAGCAGCTTACTTCCCTGAGGAGGATGGAAGCGTTACATACATAAGGTTCAAAAACAACGAACCTGGAATTGCGTACCAAATTCGCAATTACATGACCATGGAAGAGTACGAAAGGTTCCTACAAGAGAAACCAGCTCTAAACAACTCAGAAAAGAAAGAGTAAAAAGTTTAATTCGTAATTGTTTATTTTTTTACTTGTATGGGCAAGCTGCAAGAATGAAGTCGACTATCTCAGTCTTTGTCTTGACCAGTTGGACTGCTCTTGTAAGCACGTCTGTTTTGCGGTCTCCAGATGGTGTTTGACCTTCGTAATTGCGCATGTTCTTGAGTGCTCCAACTGTAAATGGTTGTAGGATGAAGAGTCTCTCAGACTGCTTGAGGTAGTCGTCACGGTCACGAACCGAATCTGTGGTACGAGTCGAATTGGTCGACCTTAGGGAAGAGACTGAAAGCATGTCATCTTCCATAGGGGCTGTGGCATAATCTTTGCGTAAACGGTTCAGACCTTCTTCGAACTCTTGGTCTCTCTTCGATTGGGATTGAGATTGGAATTGCTGGGGTGGAGCTTGCTGGAACAACCAAGGGTTGGGGAAGTAAGGCATAGGCTGAGGAGGGTAGTTCGGGAAGCCTTGTGGTGGGTAGTAACCTTGAGGTGGAAATTGGTAGTAATTCGGAGGTACTTGCTGGAACTGAGGTTGTTGTGGTTGCTGAGGAGACTGTTGTGGTTCTGCAGCTTTCGGTTCTTCTGGCTTTGGAAGGCATTCAGGAAGAGGAACGTCAGTCATCCGTTTGTGTCCTGTCGGAAGGAAAAACTTTTCCTGTCGGAAGGAAAAACCTTTTCTGTCGGAAGGAAAAGTTTTCTGAAGTTCGACCAAAAAGTTCTCAATTTTCGAAAATTTGAATGGTTTACGGACGGACAAATGGAAGAGTTCTTCCTGTCGTCGGGAAAAATTTTTCCCTTTGTCCGGAAAATTTTTTCCAGTTGTCGGGAAAATATTTTCCTGTCGGATGGAAGGACTCGGAATGCCAGAAGGATTTGACGAGGCAATTTACCTCATTGAACTTAACGACTGCGTAAAAGACTACTTGCGCAAGGTAATGAAGCCCAAGGTCAAGTTCACCAGTATTTCTGGAAGGGCTGCCTTGAATCTCGAGACTTCGACCGGAATTCCAATTCAAATACCAGACGGGACAGCCTACGACGACATAAAGGACGCCAAAAGAGAAGCTCTTGTTAAGTTCCTAAACAAACGTCCTTGGATAAAAATACCAAACAAGGAGAACCCCCTACCCCATATGAAATTGGCAATTCAGTCTCTCCTTCACTTCTCGGGTCAGCCGTTCTACATAACCTCAGAAGGCGACATCCAACCAGTTCAGTAAACATCTATATGGCACGTTTAGAGTAAAAACATTTTTTTCATTTTTTGAATGAAGCAAGTTAAATTCGTCCCACACCAAGCTCAATGGACCGATGAAGAGTTTCAAGCTATGGTTGAAGGTGTTGAGAACGACATAGACGGCGAACTTGAAGGAGCTCAAACCACAATTGCAACCAAAATTGCAGAAGTCAAGGAACAGATAGCTCCACTTAAGGCAACTAAAGCAACCCTTGACCTCATGGATAGTTACCGTTTAAAAGTAAAGAGTGGAATAAGACAATTAAAATTAAAACTCTTAAATTACGAAGCTATACTCCAAAAGTTAGCAGAAATGAGAAGACTTTACCAGAGCTACTTACATGTAAGGGACTTACCTTCAAGCAGTCCGACCAAAGATGAATTTTCTGACATTGTCCCAATTTTGTCCGAAAGTCAGCTCAGATGTTTTGAACTGCTCCCAACATATCCAGAATATGAACGTTTGCCTGAACTCTTCCGCAATCTCAAAAAACGTTTTTTGGTTCTCATGTTCGAAACTTTTATCGGAAGAGACAACAAACGTTCAGAAGAAGAACAAGATATTATTTTAAACTTGTTGTATGACTTAACTGTCATAACAAGCTTTTTGAAGTAAAACCGTCATTCTCAAACCACTTCATTTTTTCGATGTCCGAACAAGCACCGAAGCCAAACTCAATGGAAGATGTCCTTTCAAGGTTGCCAGACAAGCGCCCAGTTCAAATTCAAATTGCCCAATTGAAAGCTCATCTGACAAACACCATTAAGACTCTCCAACTTAGTCTTATGTCAGAGATGAAGGGACTTAAAGGTGAGTTCCTCATGAACCAAGCTTCCAATGAAAAAGTCCTGAACGATTTCGCGGAAACCTTGCACAATTACGAGAGAGAGAACCGAGACCTTGCCAGACTCATATACCGTTTCTTCGAAGAGATAGACGCCATCTGGAAGGTACTCGGAAAGGACAGAACATGCAACACCGTACTTCGTGAGTACCAAATTGAAGAAGGAATTGTCGAGGAAGAAGAGAAACACGAAGAAGAAGTTCCTGAAGCCGCTACATGGGCAACCCTTGTTGCCGATGACGGTTACGAAATTTCCCAACCCTACCCATACAAAATCCGCAACAGGGAGACCGGCAAGGTTCTTACCCCAGTCCTCAACAACTTGGGACACTTGAACCTTAACCTTCGGAATCGCGGTTCAATTTCCATGGGCAAGCTTGTCGCAATTCAATGGGTTCCAAATCCAGATAAGAAGACCAAGGTCAGACACATTGACGGTGACAAGCTCAACAACCGTAAGGAGAACCTCGAGTGGTTCTAAAAGTAAAAAAAATTATTTTAGGGGGAAACCCCAAGTAAATTTAAGTTTTTAGTTGGATAAGTAGGTTAAATTAATGGTAATTTGGAAAATTAGCTCCCGACCTTTGAATTGGGCTCTTTCATTATCCCAGTTGCATAGGAGGTCGTCCCAGAGGAGTTGGTAGAATTGCCAATCCAAGGACGATTTGTCCTCCCAGGCATTGAGGATGTACTGCTCGTAGAGTCTCATGACCTCTGCCTTGCACCAGACACCCTCTCCCTTGGAACGTAAGGCTTCTTCGAAGTGCTCGAATGCGATTGGCTGCTTGACCATCTGAAATGACACTTTTTATCCGTTTGGTCAATGTTCGTGTCTCGTGCCATAGTCGACGAAAATACAGACAAACAGGTTATATATGAGTTTGAGACCAAGAATGGTGTAACTCGACCTGTCCGATTCAAAGACTCCGAGGGCGACCATGAAATTAAACGGAAATTGGCTAGGAAGGAATATAAAATGGACTGGTTGCCACCACCTCCACCACCTTTACCTGTTCCTCAAGTAAATAAGCCTTTCACGTTCCCAAGAATTCCTACATTTAAATTCAAATTCGAATAAAAACGTTTTTACTTCATGCAATGTTTTATTTCTGTGCCATCTTCAAGTATGCCCCAATATTTCCTTTTCGATATTACATGAACTTCGGTGAAAATTTTGTCCAATTTGAATCGACCCATCTTTTCACCGACCATACCCATTTCAATGAGTTTGTTGTATCCTTCTTCGTTCGTCATGAGTGCGTCAATGTTCTCATAGTAAACCACTACTTTCGATTTGACTTCGGAGAAGAATTTGTTGTACTCGTCAAGGACTGCTTTTGCGAACTGAGGGTAAGACCAATGTTCGACAATAGGTTTTAATGTGGTTACTAAGCCACTTTGACCTTGAGTGAATTCGTACTTCAAAACAAAAGGAGAAAACCTTTCAACAAAGTTGTCGACCTTCTCATAATGTTTACTCTTCATCTCTTGAGGTTTCTTAATGGAATATCCCCATGTCGAATTCATAAGCAATTTGAGTGTCATTGCAAGTTTGGGGTTTGAAGCTTTCCTAATATCATACAGTTGTTGTATGACTTTTCCAACTGTATAGTTCCTTCCCGGGAACTCACCATCTTCGTTTGGAATTCCAGTCGGAATATATTGGACAAACCTCATGTATGCAGCGTTAAGGTCGACATAGTATATCTTTTCATCTGAGTCGAACTTGTCGCAACCAATTGGTCCAGTTTGTGGAAATTCAAGTGAGTCTCTTATCTTCTGAGAAACTTCTCCTGTTATCTCATAAACATCGTCGAAGCAACCTGTTTCATATAAAACCTTCTGACCTAACTCAGATGCTCTCCAATACAATTTGACGTCAATTGGATGTCTCAATGGAAGTTTGTTTATAGCATCTTGAAGTTCTTGCAACCTCATTGGAAGTTCTTCTGGTTCAGGTTGGTATCCGAACATACCAACCCCTTGTGGAACTGTGTACTTCTTATTTAATAGAACTTTGTCTGGAACAACTTTTGGTCTTGCAAACAATGAAAAGCTAGTTTCATCTTTTGGTATAAAACATTCTGTCAGCTTGTCATCTGGAATTGGTTCCAACAAACCTTTCTCGAAAAGAATGTTTACAGCTCTGACAATGTTGCACTTGCCTTTTCCGAACAATGGGTTTGTAAGACTTTCGTTCAACATGAAGTGGTTGTGGACAATTACAATCTTCAACCATGGTAAGTCTTTGTCAACAACATAGTCGTCATGTGAAGAACCTTTAGCTGTAGGTATGTTGACTCGGATATTGACATTTGCCAACGGTGCAATTTTTGCCAATTGACCTCTGAGAATGTACCTTGTCTTCACACATGACTCAAGATACTTCATCTTCTCATCTGTAACAAGACCAGAGTTCCTGAGACATGTAAGAATGCAAGGTTCGTTGACAATTGTTTCAATTGAAT